TAGCACTACCAAAATGGAAACAAGTAATGTGGAGCTCCATAGCGGCTCAAAGCATCACTGATTTCAGAGTGTGTTTTTCCTCTCCCAAAAAGTTCGATAATCAATGCAGGAAACTGTTCAAGTGCAGCCACTGCCTTTTGTTTAGAAATGGTTTGTTTTGATGCCATCTTCATCCACTGTAAATGATTTTTCTTTGGCAACTTACTTCATTCCGGTACCGCTACATATTAAAACAAAAACTGTATTTTATTTTCATTTGTTTTGTTTTTTCGTTACCAAAGAACGAACCATATACGGATTTGATCAGAGTCAACTGATCCGGTTTGTTGATATATTCATGATTTCTGAAAAGCTAACAACTGAGTGAAGTCAGCTCAGAGTTCAGGGTGAGGGCAGCAGATTAAAAAATCCTGATCAATAGAATGTAGAAAATATGATCCACCATGGAAAAAAGGGAACAAACGAATCATCAAAGTGAGCATTTCAATTCAGTTCAAAAATACTTAATTTAACCAAAATGGAAATTAAATATTAAGTTAAATGGGGGGAGTGGTGGCCTAGTGGTTAGCGCATAGAGCTTGGAATCCAGAGAATGTGAGGTAAAAACCCACTTCCACTCTGGGTCCCTGAGCAAAAACCCTTAACCCCACACTGCTGCCCGGGCGCCGCACAATGGCAGCCCAGTGCTCCCTAAGGGGAGGGGTTAATGCAGAGCAGGAATTTCATTGCGCTGTACTTATGACAGTGTAATGACAGTAAAAAAGAGCTGGAAAAATAAAGCAAACAAAAAAATAAATATAATAATAATGACAGAATATAGAGATGACAAAAAACATTTTACACCAAAAATAAGTTTCTTTGGCAAAATAAGGAGATTTAACTTGTCAGAGACCAGTCAACATGAGTGGGATTTAAAATTGAAATTACAATCATGAATAATTTAATAAATAAAATAATGGGTTGAATGCATAAAACATGAGCAGGGGCAAGAAGGATGTAACAGTAAATCCAGCTAAAATGTAAAAAAAAAAAAAATATTCTTGTAAGGCCCAGTTATCAGCTATGAAGTTTAAATTTTACTAATAAATTAGATGACATTTGTTGGCTTTATTCTTCCATAATATTGTATTTTATTATGTAAGAAGTTAATCCTTATAATGTAATATTAGTTAGGGATTTATGATATTTGTTCAAAATAAGGCAGAAACATGTTTCATTAAAAACAAAAACCATAATTTGCCTGAATCAGGTGCGTTTGAAGCAAAATAAAAATAAAAAATGTAAAATTTGCAGGAGAGCGGCCCCTAGAGGACGGGGCTTGAATCTGTTTGCTGCGTGGCTCTGATGCCGTCGTGCTTCTGTAGTCATGACCGTGATTTTATTCCCTTCCAGTTTTGCTCACCTGATCAACCTGGAGTTCTTTGATGATCTGCTGAAAGTGCTGCAGAACCTCATCCAATCCGGAGTGAGTATTTAGCATGAAGCCAACTGAACGCTGTGTTCTGCATCATCAGCTGATTGTTTGATCATTGGGCTGTGCAGGATCTGACCAATCGGGAGAGTCTACACTGCATCCAGACAGTCTTCACCATCCTTTCTGGACAAGGTCAGGCTGTTCGTGATCAGAACTTAGAAAGGCTGTCCTACAGCTGAATGCTGTTTATTCAGCTTCTTCTGCCTGATTTTACTTAAACAATGACCTATTGTAACGACGCTGGTGCAGTCGATAACGGGAGCAGAAGGATAATGGCTACGTTCACACTGCAGGCCTTGATGCTCAGTTCCGATTTTTTTGCGAAATCCGATTTTTTTTTGCCGTTGCCGTTCATATTTCCAAATATATTAGATAAGATCAAATTAGATTAGATTACATTAGATTCAACTTTATTGTCATTACACAGGTACAGGAACAAGGCAATGGAATGCAGTTTAGGTCTAACCAGAAGTGCAAAAGCAGCAAGTGCAGGATAAATAATGGTTCCATAAATACAGGACGTGGGTATTTCTACTGAATAAGTATAGAGATGAATACTATTATAAATAATGAATATAATATATAGATCACTAGTGTTATGAACTAAATTTACTGCTGGATATGTACCGAATATAATATACGGATAGATATTACTATTAAAAAAAGGTTTTTACAGTTATGTACAATAGCATAATATACAGATGGGTTTTACTATAAAATGAATTATTAAAGACAGAAGCTATCTAAATTAAAGTGCAGTGGAAAGTAATTGCATATTACAGTTAAAGTACGTTATTGCAGATGTAAATGTAAACAATTGGTTATGTGAATAAACAGTTGGCAGTGAAAATATAAGCAGTCGGAGGTGAGTAATGCAAGATGCATGTAAACAGTTGTTACAATAGTAACAGTCAGGAGTGCAGGTGAACTTTACAGTCTTGTAAAAAAACAGAATAGCCAAATGGTGGTAGGTGTGAGGAAGGAGAGTAGAGACCATCAGTGAGGGTTAGAGTTCAGTAAACAGACAGCTCTGGGGAAAAAGCTGTTCTTTAGTCTGCTGGTTCTGGTCCGGAGGCACCTGAACCGCCTGCCGGAGGGCAGGAGAGAAAACGACTTGTATGTGATCTCCTGTGTGAACAGCATTAATACACCGCAAGTGTCCCGCATGTGCAGTAGAGGACGTCACAGCCTAGGCCAGCGTGCTCTTTTTTTCTGGAAGTAAACATGGATGGTCGTGCTGGTGTAGGTACCAGATTGACTCGGGCTGCCAGATTGACTCGGGGGGCCTGCGCCCCCGAGTCATGACGTCACAATACATAATTGTTTTAACGTTTGCACAATTGCGCAAAACATTTTGATTGGTCTGGACAGCTTACTAAAGTAATTATAGCGGGGTGTAGGTTTTATTCGAAAGCGGGATTGCAGTTTGTAAACGGACAATTTTACGAAGAAATTCTCCATGGTCCCTGCGCCTTCCGATGACGTCACCGAATTCGCCATGGGCCTTGCGCCTCCTGATGACGTCACATTATGGCAACGCCACTCAAACAAACTACATTGAGCCCGCGGTCTGCATTTGTAACGAGAATAAATTCAGGAGAATGAAGCTAAAGGGATACAAAAAATAAACTTGTAATATTATTGCCATATCGTTACGAGCGGCGTTGCCATATAGTGACGGGCGGAGTTGCCATATTATGACGTCATCAAAAGGCGCAGGCCCCCGAGTCAATCTGGCAGCCCGAGTCAATCTGGTACCTACACCGGCATGCATCTATCGGTGTTTTCCAACCATAAAAACACAATCTTTTCAATAAGGTTAAACATAAATACTGCTCTCCGCATCATCATCCCCTTTGTTGGTTGATTTTCTTGCCACTTCTGCATAATAGTGATGTTTGTTGGGTATTAATGACGTTCAGGTCGGATGAATCTGTCCTGGCCGTTCAGACACAGGTCGCATTTTAAAAGATCAGATTCGTATCGGATTCAGGACCACAGAGCCAAGCGGTCTGGGTCGCATTGGAAAAATCAGATCTGTGTTGTTCAGACTGCCATGAAAAGATCAGATCAGGTCGCATGTGGGCCAAAAAATTGGATTTGGGTGACTTCAGGCTGCAGTGTTAACGTAGCCTATGTCTCATGTTCACCTTCTGTCCTGTTTGAAGGTTTCTGACTTGTTTGTAGGTTTCAGTGGTGTTTCAGTTACAGTCCAGTGGCATCTAAATTCAGCTGTTTCTGTGCATCAGGTGAAGCCCTGAACATCGACCCTCTGAACTTCTACTCTCAGCTTTACAGGATTCTGATGCATCTTCATGCAGGTGCTTTCTAAGTTCTCATAAAGCTACCAGTTTAGACCTTCCACCTCAGGAGTCAGTGGCGTTACCTTTATTCTCTGGCTGTCTCAGGGGCTCCCAATGATGACGTCACCATTTTGCTACGGTGTCTGGACGCTATGTTGACCCGCCGCAGGAAGCAGGTGACCCTCCAGAGGGCCATGGCCTTCGTCAAACGTCTGAGCACGCTCAGTCTGCATGTCCTGCCCAACGCCAGCGTTGGAATCCTTGCAGCAAACCGAGCCACTATGCACGTGAGTTTGTTTGATCATTTAAGTGAGCGTCTGTTTTTATTTCTTTTAAATACTTGAATAAATCACTGCTCTGCTCCAGCCTTTTAGTCGTCCCTCATTCTGCTGTGTTATCATGTCACAGGCGTTCCCCAAGTGCGACTTTCTTTTGGATAACGAGATTCAGGGCAGCGGGTTTTACCTACCAGAGCTGGACGAACCTGAGCATTGCAACGCTCAGAACTCTGCACTCTGGGAGCTCCACCCACTTCAGGTACGTCCACGCCAGGGTTCCTGTTGGGCTCAAACTTACATTCAGAAAGCCACAGCTGCTCACAGCATTGGTTGAAATGCTGTCGGACGGCCCAGAGTGAGCAGTGGGTTGCAAAGTGGAGACCCTGTTCTTCCCGTCTTCATTTTGTTCTTGGTTAAGGTTCTTCTCCTGCTGATGGTGCTCAGATGGCCCGGTGTTGCTGCAGCTGTGGCTGGAATGTGGCTCACCACCATCAGCGAGTGGCTGGGTTAATGATTTACTGTAGTTGTGAAGCGCTTCCTCTGACTTTATTAAGTCAGAAGAAGCAAATTCAAACCCATTAGAATTCAAAGAGGATAAATCCAGTAGAAGAAAATGAGCAGTAGGCTTTAAAGGAACCAGGTGTGACCGCTGTGGTTTATACCTGCAGTATTTCTCTGCCTTTAAGGGGTAATAGAATGATTCTATAGGGTATCTGTTGCTGGTTCTTAAAGGAATAGTACACCCAAAACATGATTAGCCTTCATTTTCTACTCACCCCCATGCTGAACAACACTCTGGAGTACTTTTTTGATATCTCAAATGCATCTGGAGATCTGGGAGGCTTCTTGCTGTCTGCTGACATTCAAATAATGGAGGTCTATGGCGCCCGAAGCAGAAAGGTCCATAAAAGTCCACAAAAAACGTGTCAATATTCCTCCATACTGCTCGTCCAATGTATTCCAAGTGTCCTGAGTGGGTAGCATCCAGAATTTACTCGAAACAAAGTCATTTAGAGCATAAACAGTAGTGTATAGGATTTCCTATCCTATACACTACTGTTTACCAAATGACAAACGGCTGCATTTATTTTGTCTTAGAAAACTAATCCTGAGTCAGTTAAAAGTCAGGGAATTCTGAAATGATGTCAGACTGTGGAAACCCTGAATAAAATAACTATGTATAATGATTCTCTAGAAAAGTCACATTATATTAATAGTATTATCTTCTATAAACATACTGTGACTCTAAAATAAAAGTTATTCATTTGTGACATTGACTTGACTTGTGATTTATCTTAAGTTTTTAACCTGTCAAGTCTTTTTTAGATTTTTAACATTACAATTTATATTTTTCACAACAGTTTAAAGCAAAGTTTAGTTGGAAAAGAATGTGCAGGAAGGATTGAAAAGCATGTTAACACGGTAATGTACGGTAGGCTTGAGTTCACTATCTGACGCATGCATAAACACACCAGGAACCTGGAAACTTACTGAGTTACAAAAAACATTTAAAAAACAAACATGTTTCATTGATATATATATACGAAAATGAATCTTAGGAACTATATTTATCAAGCATTATACTGGGCAAGTAAAAATTGTCACTTGCCCAAAGGGCAAAGATGAATGAATACAAACTTGCTGCAGGTTTCTAACTTTACACACGAGTCTGACCTGAAAATGTTTGGCCTGCTGTATTTTCAGAGACATTTCCACCCAGTTGTTCAGCTTTTTGCACGTCATTTGAGTCGGGGAGCTCCCAGTGACGGCTCAGGAGCGCTCAGCCTGGAGCTCTGCCGCAGGTACAAATAAAACATATTAATAAACAATAAACCTTAAATTACAATCGGAGGTGGGTGTACTTTAAAGTTGCACTCATCATTAGCAGTGTGTCATCAGCTCAGGCTTAGCAAAGATGTTTTCACTCGTTCAGGTCTCCAATGGACCTGTTTGCAGACTACAGCGTCAAAGACATGACCTTTAACCCTGCTGTGGCTTCGCCTCCCTCAAAGAAAAAGGTGCGTAAATCCTGCTCAGTTATCCAGGTTTGCTTTTACCTGTATTTTATGTAAAATGTTAATATGTGTTTTCATCACGCTGGGTCGATTTCTTTTTATTCAGGATAAGTTTGTGGTTGGAGCATCGCTGCTGGACGACGAGCTGCAGAAACAAGTAGATTGCATCTTAAAAATGTCAGAGGACACAAAACTGGACTTTGCTAAAGCACGGCACTGACACACACCAAGCCCCCCGCCTCACAGGGAGGCTCCTGCTGGATGGTGACCAGAGGCAGGCAGTCTGATATGTTTGTCAGACAGCAGGAATAAGCTGAAGGACCTGCCAGCCTGATGCTTTACCTGCTCTGGACTATTATTTGCTGCATTTTTTCACTTTTTACTGCTTTTCATCAGGGTGGAAAGTTCCATCAATAATTCCCATTTGGCTTCCATTACTTCAGCTGGTTTCTTGCAGCTTGTTTTAGACACTCCTGTTGCCCTATGGAGCTAAATTGGGGCCATAAAGTTTGTTCAGAAAAATGTCTTTGAACTGGTAAAAAAATAAATGTATTTGAGACAAAAAAGATGTAAAATTTTACAGATGTTTGAAAAAACTTTTAATCTGTGCATTTTCCATCACGCTTTATCCCTGCTGGGGTGCTGGTGCCTATCTCCAGCTGTCTATGGGTGAGAGGCGGGGTAACACCCTGGACAGGTCGGCAGTCCATCACAGGGCAACACAGAGACAAACAGGACAAACAACCATTTACACACACACTCACACCTAAGGAGAATCTAGAGAAGCCAATGAACCTAACAGTCGGGGTTTTGACCATGTGAGGAAGCTGGAGTACCCCGAGACAACCCACACATGCTCAGGGAGAACATGCAGAAAGACCCCGGGCCGCGAATCGAACCCGGAACCCCTCTTGCTGCAAGGAAGCAGTGCTACCCAGTGCTACACTGAGCAGCCCACACTTTTGCTCTCCTCTGTGTTTGTAGCTAAATTGGGGCCATAAAGTTTTTAAATTTCTTTTTACTGAAAAAAAATTGAAACTGGGAAAAACTGAGTTGAGTGTGGACTAATTACTAATTATTGATGTCTGAATAAAATATTGCCAGGTGACACAAAAAAGAAACAAACTAATAACTTGAATCTGAAAAGTAGTTTCTGACATTTAATTACAATTTTAACTTGTAGAACTTAGTTTAGTTTAGTTCAAAACTCCTTTGTTTTTGTTCAGCTTCAAAACTGTTTTTGTTTTTGAACAAACTTTATGGCCCAGATTTAGCTCCATACATTTATTGAGTTTCTTTCTCTCTGGGCGATAGCCGTAACTCTTCTGATCCGGTGCGGTCTTCCTCTCTCTAACTAACCCAGACAAGGCTGACTTGGACCTGCTGGCAGGCGGGTTTTTTTTTTTTATTTACCTTCCTCCTCTGGTGGAGTCGTGGTTCATCTACATAATATCTCACTGTGAATGTGTCAGCTCAGGTCATGTCCAGTTTTATAAAGAATTGAATTCATTATTCTTAAACTGATTCTATTTTTGTTTCACATTATTAAACAGAATACTTTTACAGTTTGTGTGAGGGGTCATTTACAGTTTTCAACATTTTAACAAATGTACAAAATACTCTTTAGATGACCTTGTTCATTCGGGCAGTGCACAATTTTTCATTTTATTTCTGCCTTCCCTATTTTACTGCAGGTTGCACAGAACCTTTGAACTACGACTGAGTATTAGACTGTGTATAAAGATTTTGTTTTTTAAATACAAGAAAGTCATAACATGAGAATAAAGTCGTAATATTACAAGAATAAAGTCTTTAAATTATGAGAATAAAGTTTTTAAAAATTATGAAAATGAAGTCATCGTACCAAAACCCATTTCAGAAAGAAAGCTTCAAGCTCCGACCAGCATATAACAGCCGACCAGCTCCACCAATCAGCAACCTTCACTTTCACATTCTGCTTAATTTGATACTGGTGCTAAAAGATGAACATGCATGTCTATTTTAAGGTGAAATTGCTGAACCTTATAAACTTGCTTAATTAAAACATTCTCAAAATAAATAAACCGTAACATAAAACATCTACATGAACATCAGTTTCAATGTCCAAGTTCAGTAAAATGTATTATAATAACTTGAAAAGGTAGTCATTGAAAACCCCCCCCACACCCCCCCACACCCCACACACACACACACACACACACTTGTTCACTTGTGAAAATTGTGAATGACCCTTAAGCTTTATTTAATAAAGTTAATATTTTAAACTTTTTCTGGCAATTATTTTATTTCCGGTTGAGTTTTCTGGGGAATACAGTGTGGTTGAGTTTGAATTCTCTTGAAAGAATAAATAACCAAAATTAATCGCCACTATTTCATGTTAGACCCTGAAAGCTGGTATTAATATTTACATTGACAGGCCTTAAACATCAAGCCTTCCTTACGGAAGAGGATTAGGGCCACTGAAAAAAATAAAAAAAGTTAACTGATTTTTAAAATTTTTTTATTTCACTACAGTATGGGAAAAAAGTCAGAATTCTGACTTTAATCTCAGAATTCTGACTTTTTTCTCAGAATTCTGACTTTCTTCTCAGAATTCTGACTTTTTTCCCATGTTAAACTGAAATAAAATCGAAAAATCAGTTTACTTTTTTTTTTTTTCAGTGGCCGTAATCCTCTTCCGTACTTCTGTGAGCTTTACTAAAGCAATCTTTTTTCAATAATTCAACATCAAATTTGCCTCAGACCAACAGCAGCTACTATACAGTAGATCAGCGGTGCTTTATCTAAAATAGAATAGAGAAGAAAATTCCTTCTTTGTCCCACAATGGGGAAATTCTGGTGTTTACAGCGGCGAAAAAGATTATAGAAAAACATGTTCATACAAATCCTTATAACAAAAATCTAAAACATTGCAAAGCATTGATCGTGGCACAGGCTGACGGCCTAAAGCCTCAGTGAAAGCAGAGAGGAAAGAGTTTAAAAGAACTGCTATGACTAAGCCGCCCAAAGCGGAACCCTTGGAGCAGGATGAACTGGCCATTGTTAAGTACTGTGTGCAAAAGCAATTTCCTGAGGATCTGGCCAGTGGAGAGAGGGCATCCTGTTAGATCTATTTATCTTTGAAAGCCCCGTCCAAAGGCTTGTTCTGTTAACGGGTCTACGGTGGCCTTTAGAGATGATTGGGCAAAGGAGGATTTTTCATAAAAGGAAAAGCCTGAACGTTTCAAGACAGGAGATCCTTCCTGCCCACATCCAACAGCATCTCTAACAGCACTTATAGTTTCTTCAAATGCTATTTAAAGAAACTAAACTGCAACAGAATTTACTGTCCCTTTGGGATTCAATAAGACTTATTTTTAATATAAAACAAATGTAAACATCTGGCCCTGAGGTCATCTTTATCACCCACTCTGTACAAACCCAACATTCAAATGATTAGTCAGGATTACACGTCTCCAGAGTTCGGTTCTGATTCCCTTGTAGGATTTATGGATGTGATGGGAATGTTTAATGTCTGACAAGAACTCTTGAAATGTTTGAGGGTAGAAATGGCTTCATAGTGAATTTTATTAGTGTCTTGAATCTGTTGCGAGTTTTAAACACATCCATTCAGATTAGTTTGATCTGTTTCAAAAATTAAACCAAACCAGGACTGGACCTGTTGCCACTCTGAAACCAAACACGGGACTTTCTACAGTGATTTCCAGAAACTATCTCATTTCCAGTCAGCAATAGACAGACTCCCTGCAGAACAATCCCCAGCTTCCTGCTTGCTGGAAAGTCCAAGGTGGAAATACATGAGACTGAGGTCAGATCTGCTGGAAATCTCCAGTACCTTATTTGATCAGTTGTTCATCAGTCATCATTTAGGAATGTGATAAACACAGTTTCTCCGAAAACACCTGTCATCCAGTGGCAGAACCAATCAAACGTATACTAAGTTATCACAGCAGTATATCTATATAAATACAAACAACAACAAACATAAAAACAAAAACATAATTTCATCTATGAGCTCACTTTTTTTTTTAAACTTGCTCTTCTGAGGCTTCCGTGTTTTGCATGGTCCTGTACGTTGTCACAAACCTAAAAAAATTTAACAGTTTTATAATAGAGAAGCTATCAGTCAGCTTCATGTATTTTTTTTTATATAGAAATCTATTTTCTGAGAATGTGTTTATTTAGAAGCAACTAAGCAAACAATTGGAAAAAGTACACTACATTATATTATTTCCATGTCAATCCCAGATTGTTTATTCATCTTTGCCTTTTCTAAAAAGTGCTTTAAATCAGTCTAACCTATCTTTAGCCATGCTGGGTCCTGACCTGATGTTTGAAAAAGGAGGCAGAATAAAGCAGAATAAAGCATTACCCTCGCTATATGCAGTTAGCCAAGCCTTGTAGCTAAACCAGGTCCTGGAAAAAGACAGAGTGAAGCGTCTCCATCCGTCTTTGGACTGCTGATTCATTTTGATGTTCGGCTGATGAGGTCCAAATGTTTTCACCTCCAGCTTCTCTTGGTAGGTTTGCTCTAAAGCAGTGGTTCCCAAAGTGTGGGGCGCGCCCCCTAGGGGGGGGCGTGAAAATTTTATTGTAATCCAAAGGGGGGCCCAGAAGAAAATCTTTGGGAACCACTGCTCTAAAGGATTTCACTTTCGTGACTCGAACTGTCAATCAGCTGCACTAAGACTGTGATGACAGTTCCTGTCAGCTCGAGCTGCCCCCCCGGGCTCCCCTATCTTTTTGCATTACAGAGGAGCTACTGCGCATGTACAACTTTTTTTAATTTATTTTTTTTTTTATTTACAGTGTCCTGTCTGGCAATGTGGCAATAAGAATCATTGTCTTGATGCCAAAAAGAGTCCAACAGATTTTACTATCACAAGTGTAGCAGTATGGCAACTGCCATACTGCTACACTTGTTTCATGCATATAAATTGCTTTATTATAATTATGCAGGAAGTTTTACAGTTTATATGGACACTGCAATGTAAATAGAACAGAAAAACAGAAGAAGAAAAAGAAAAAAAAGAGAAAAGATGAAAGAAAGAAGAGATAGAAAGGAGACAATGACAAAACATTTTCAGTCTGCTTCATCACCACGTACAACTTTTAATGAGTCAATGGCCAAAGATTTTGTACCAGATCCCACGACGAGCGAAACCGCTTCATTCGTCATTAAAGATTAAATATTTATCTTGCACATCTAAAAAATATATTATGTTTCAAAATAGTTAAATTTTCTTAATTTAATTTTAATTTTGTTTTTATCAAGCTTATTGGGAGGCTGGGACAACACCCTAGCGCCCTCTATTGACCAACCACGGCTGCTGTAGAGTCTTATCTCTTAAAGGGGAACGCCGTTTTTTGGAGCTGTTCTGAAGATATTCCGTTAGGTTATATCCAGTAACGTCTTCCTTTGGGCAACGACTTGAAGAAACAAACTAAACTGTTCATCATTTATTCTTTATGGTACGCCAGCATTCAGAACATGTAGGACAATCACTGTCCCCCAGACATCCACGGTTATATTTTTTATATTTATATCTTTTAAAAGCAAAGCAGAGTGTGTATGACATCATCCGTGCGCTGTGGCTACCATCTATTCTTCCTGTCCGCTGAACTGCTGCTAGTTTTCCTCA